GGATGGACAAACAAGACCCAGCACTCACCTGGCACCTGCACAGTGAGGGATTTCTCCCGGGCCTGCAGCCTGTACACCAGCATGTAGGCGTTGCGGGAGCAGTGCGTGCCCTTGCCACACTTGGGCTTGCGGGTCTGGGATTTCGATGGCTCCGCTGTGGGAACAAAAGGCACGGCCTCAGCAACACACCAGCTCCTTCCCTGGCCCTCCATCAACGGGATGAGTGTGCCACCCAGCCAGTTTCTCTGTGCCAGGCCTCTGTGCCAAGCACTGGGCTTGGCACGGCTCTAAATTGTATCCCAAAGAAAGCCCCAAATCTCTCCAGCCTTTCTGGGTAAATCAAAGGGACTAAATTTAGGAGCCTGCTCTGAACCTCCCTTCTCAAGAGCCTTTCTTCTCTCCCCAGTGGAACTTCTCTGAGCCAAAAGCCACTCTTGGAAAAACATCCTTTCTCCCTTTTGCCTCTTGTTCTGCTGTCCTGACTCCAAAGAAAAGAGTCAAATCCTCAGGGAAGAAAATCGTATTTACAGGTGATGGTGGATATGAAAAAAACACAGCAAAGCTTTTAGGAAGCCAAGAGCCATGGAAAGGGTTGTTTTTGAGCAGCTGCTGGGGGATGTAAAGTTGTGTTGCAAGAGCTGCTGTTTCCAGATGGATTCTGAGGCAAGGAAAACACTTATCTACAGCTGCAGCTTCAAAAATCAAACCATTCAAAAGAAAGAAAAAAATTAAAGGGACAACGTTCCATAAATTGAACTCTAAGTGGGCCATTGAATTATTAAGTTTCTTTCCCCCAAATTCTGAAAAAATTCATGTGCCTTTCCCCCCACACCATCTAGGGGACTTCCCAGACTCTATTTATTTGCATTTTATCCAAGAATTTTCTGAATTGTTCCCATCTGCATGGCCAAGACTCTCCCCCCCACAGTCCTTCAGTTTATGTTTCTGACCTTCTCCTGCTGTTACATGTATTTGTAACAAAGCAAAGCCTCAGTTTTGCCTGGAACAGGCAAATTACATCAAAACTTGATACAAATATTGAGCTCCAAGCTTAAAGAGGCTCCTAAACACACTTTACTTCTATTTTCTAACCAGCCTTGAATTGAAATACGAGAAATAAGAACATTTACAGTTAGGCATGAAACTTAATAAAACTGAGATCATGAAACTTTATAAAATTGAGGTCACAGCAGTTGACTTGCATTTCATTTGTTGCACGGGGTGAGTGGGGAGGGTAAACACAAAGGCTGAGCTGCCCTGGTGCTGTTCAGGGCTCAGTTTCCCTGTGCACCACTAGATGTCCGGCCAGCTCCAGCCTGGGCCAGCTCTGAGCAGAGGAAGGAATTTCCCCATTGCAAGGGGAAGGGACAGAGTGGTGGCACAGGATCAGGGACTCACTAAGGCTGGAAAAGCCCTCCAAGATGATCAAAGGCAACCACTAACCCAGCACTAACCCTGTCACACACTTTTTGAACACCTGCAGGGATTGTGACTCCACCACTGCCCTGCACAGCCTCCTCCAATGCCTGACTGCACCTTCCATGAAGGATTTTTCCCAACATCCAACCTAAACCTCCCCTGGCTCATTCCCTCTGCTCCTGTCCCTGTTCCCTGAGCAGATCCTGACCCCTGGGCTGTCCCCTCCTGTCAGGAGCTGTGCAGAGCCACAAGGGCCCCCTGAGTCTCCTTTGCTCCAGGCTCAGCCCCTGCCCAGCTCCCCCAGCTGCTCCTCAGAAGCTCTCCAGACTCTTTTCCTTGTGCTCCAGACCCTTCCTCAGCTCCCCTGCCCATCTCTGGACACATTCCAGCACCTCAAGAAACATAATGCAGGTGAGAACAAGGAAATGGGAGAAGGCTTAAGGGAGCACTTAAATCTGCAGCGGGTTTTTTTTTTTTTCTCTTAAAGAAAAACAACATTCCATAAATTCTAACCACAGCAAAGCATCCTGGTGGGTAACAATTCCTGGGAATGGATTGCTTGCAGTGCAAGTGAATTTCTTCATCATTTCCCTGGCTTTCCCCGCTGTGAGCACCTGCACTAGAGAACACTGAGCCACTACAAAACCATTTCAACTCCAAAACGAGCTGTTCTTATTTATTGACTGCAGAGTAAGAAATTCACATCCTCAGCCCAAGCTTTCCAAGAAATCTCCAAGAAATTCTCCAATCCAGGAACACAGCGATATGGGCAGGACACAATGAGCCAGTAAAACAGAAAAGAACCAAGGAAAAAGCTCAGAGTAAAAAGGCAGTTTTAGCTTCCAAGTTGTTATTTGGATCAAAACCTTTTTTACTGCCTCCAAGTAAAACACCTCAGTGGAAACAGAACCATAATGTGTTAAGGAAAACTGAAAGCATTCTCCTTATCTGTTCCAAGGAAATGGCAGCCGCCTGTTGCTCCCTGATAGGAACCCTCTGCCCGTGTTATCAGCATCTTATCTGCCATGTGGCAGCCAGAAAAATACTAGAGCAGCTGATCACGAGGTGTAAACATTCACACGGGGCTGAAACAAGCAAATCTGGCTGTAATCACCAGGATTGCTCTTTGGAGGAGCAGGACGCCAGTGCTTGTGGTAGAAAGAGTTACTTTAAAAAGCCACTCACAACTGAAAGGTTTTACCTAAATCTTCCTCAATTCCCAGCTGGAGTTTCTTCCCCTCCATCTTCTCGATGTCTTCATCGTTGAACTTGTACCACTCTCCTGTCTGTGGGTCCTTCACGTGGGCGATGTAGTGCCCGGAGTAGGCGCTTACTCCACGGTGTATGAGCACAGCGCTCAGCTCGTACACGTACACCCCGTCTGCAAGGCAGGCAGCACTCACACACAGCTCTGCAGCCCACAGAGTCCATCCTTCCTGCCCTAAAACCTCCTGTTTGCACCAGGCAGCAAAGCCTGCACTGGAACTCACAGCGCTTCAGGACCTTGCTAAGAGGTTGTGGTTCAGTAACAGGGATGTTGTTTGAAATACGGGCTTCAAACAAGTCTGGACAGAATTTTCAATCAAAAATTGAGAGGAATTCAATCAAAATTTCGAGAGGAATTCCATCAAAATTTTGAGAGGAATTCAATCAAAATTTGAGAGGAATTCAATCAAAAATTCGAGAGGAATTCAATCAAAATTTTAAGAGGAATTCAAGCAGAATTTGAGAGGAATTCAATCAAAATTTCGAGAGGAATTCCATCAAAAATTCGAGAGGAATTCAATCAAAATTTCAAGAGGAATTCAAGCAAAATTCGAGAGGAATTCCATCAAAAATTTGAGAGGAATTCCATCAAAATTTCGAGAGGAATTCCATCAAAAATTCGAGAGGAATTCAATCAAAATTTCGAGAGGAATTCAAGCAGAATTGAGATGAATTCAATCAAAAAATTCGAGAGGAATTCAATCAAAATTCTGAGAGGAATTCAATCAAAAATTCGAGAGGAATTTAAGCAGAATTCGAGAGGAATTCCATCAAAAATTTGAGAGGAATTCAAGCAAAATTCGAGAGGAATTCAAGCAAAATTCGAGAGGAATTCAAGCAAAATGCGAGAGGAATTCCATCAAAATTTCGAGAGGAATTCCATCCAAAATTCGACAGGAATTCCCTCCAAAATTCAACAGGAATTCCATCAAGATTTCGAGAGGAATTCAATCAAAATTTTGAGAGGAATTCAAGCAGAATTTGAGAGGAATTCAATCAAAAATTCGAGAGGAATTCCATCAAAATTTCGAGAGGAATTCCATCAAAATTCAGAGGAATCACAGAATCCCAGAATGGTTTGGGTTGGAAGGGATTTTAAAGCCCATCTTGCTCCACCTCTCTGCCATGGGCAGGGACATTTTCCACTATCCCCAGGCTGCTCCAAGCCCCATCCAACCTGGCCTTGGACACTTCCAGGGATCCAGGGGCAGCCACAGCTGCTCTGGGCACCCTGTGCATCATCACCCTCACAGGGAGGAATTTCCTCCTAAACAGAATTAAAGATGATCTGCCAAGAAGCAATGGGCAAAGACAACAAAAAACTGCCCCAAACTCACTTTTTTGCTCCATGAAAGGCTCCATGTCCAGCAGCTCTGAGAAGCCAATATAGGTGTTCAGCTTCTTCTTGTGGCCAGTTTGTCTGTGTGGAGGCAAAGCTGTGGCTCAGGGCACAGCAACAACAGCTCCCATCCCAAAAAAACCTCCCTGAGAGGCTCAGACACCTCCAATTAAAGCAGGAAGAGCAGGGTGGTGACTTCCCCAAGAGCTTCCAGGGTGTTCCCACTCACCTGTCAAACACAAAGCGCATGAGCTGCAGGTTGAGGGTGCAGGGCAGGCTGAGCAGCCGGATCTTCCTCGTGGCATTCTGCTTGCTCTGACAAGTCTCACAAAAATAACGATTGTCCCCTTCTAATTTTTCCTCCTGAGTGTGGAGAGGCAGAGGGAAAGGTCTTGAGAAAGTGTCAGCACTGAAAAGTCAATTGAGCTACTCAACAGCTGGAGAATGAGAAGCACCAAAGTTATTTTAACTATTTAAGTCTCTTCTCAGCTGCTGCCCAAATTTTTCTGAGTTAAAGACACACTAATGACTGCACTTTATAGCATGGTCATAGCAGGCTGCTCTCACTTTAAGGCAAATTTCAGATTGAATCAAGCCCCATTTCAAGTTCTCCATCTCTTACTCTTGTTCCTTGCTTGGCTGAGTTGGTTTATACCAAAGAAAATAATTAAATCCTCCCTTTTAGGAGTTCACATGGACCCAGTTAATGTAAAGCCACATTTTAGCCTGGAAACTACAACCCTATGTTCAGCCACCCAAAATCACCCTGCAGGAGTCACTCACTGCCTAAGCAGATCCAAGGGCAGGGTTAGGCCAGAGGAAAATTCCAACCCCTCTAAAAACGTCACAGGGTTGTTCTGTGTGAAGGAGGAGCAGACAAATGTCAAGTTCTCCAATTCAGGAATTCAATCTGTGCACCCAAACCAGTTTTTTTTCATAGCAGACCTCCCAGGCAGAGCAACTGGTTTGCTGAGTGCACCAGAGCAAGCAAGGAGCTCAAGGAAGGGCTTCAGGTCAGTTCTGTCCTAAATAGTTGGAGTGGAATCCACACCTTAGTGTGCCAGAGCTGAATTTCACATCCAGAGAAATTTTCAAGCTGAATTGAGGGCACTTGCAGCTGTTCCTGCAGCTATTCCCAGCACTCCCTGGTACTTCTGAGAGCACATTTTTCAGCAGGGAATGTCTCCTGTTGCTATGCAGATGAGCACTGACACAGAAAACATGGAAAGCACAGCTCTCCCAGTGCTATCCGTGACAAAGCAGGCAGAGACTTTCCCCCAACTTTCCTGGCAAAGTATTTTAACTAAAAATGCAACTTTCAAGTGCTTTTTAAAGCCATAACAGGAGCATGTGATATCACAGAGCTATTCCTTGTTCTGTGCCTCAATTCTAATTTTTTAAGTCTGCAGAAAAAAAACATTTTCACTTGGATGCATCTCCCTGAGCCAAGTCAGTGGCTTCACCCCAACACTGACCTCGAAGGCTGTGAATTGGAGGAAGGAACTGAAATTCCTTGCTAAAAATAGCAGGAGTCCAACCCCAACGAGCTCATACCTTGAGGAATTCTGTTATACAGTCTGTCAACTGCTTGTGTCCTTGGATGTTTAACTCCAACTCGTAAAATTTAGACACCAGTTTAGATTCTCTGCCACACTGGTTGCAGCTGGGATGGGAAAGAAGACAAAAATATATCTGAGGACAGGTCAGGGCTTATGCATTGAGGCTCCCAAGTCTTTAATAAAATATTCCTTGTATAAAGCCAGGAGAAAAAGTGAAGTCAGGGCTAAGGAGATTCACACCTCCACACCATAAAAACACCAGGAGAAGGTTTAAACAGCTTAACAGCACCAACCAGGACCTGTCACAACTTGCATGTAGCATTTTGTATTATTTTTAAGGTGAAATTCCCAGCTCTGAGAACACAGGAATGAAAATACAACACCCAGGATGCTGTTTTCTGGCTGCAGGACCTGCCACTCCATTAACTCACTTGAAGGTTTAGTTGGTGAATTCTCATTAATGGAGTAAAAGCAGCTGCAGAATTGTCACAGCGACACCACACACACAGGAACAGGAAAGGAAAAGGTAAATATTTCCCAGAAAGTGTTTCTGCTGCAGCTTAACTGCCTGCTCTGGTTGCTAGGAGGGATATTCTCCTCCTAAATCCTTCTAAAAATTTAAATATTTACAGAAAGGGTCTTCCCAGAATTATTACTTACACTGTGACATAGGCATACTCTCCACAGAACTGCTTTTGCACAATGTTCCGGACATCTGGGTTTTTCTGTTTGGACAAAGTATCTTCCAGCAGGGACATGAACAGCTTGGAAAACTCCTGGGCATCCTGAAAGAGAAAACCAAGTTCATTAACAATCCACCACAGCACAATCCCAGCCCTGTCACTAATTCACTGCTAATTACCCCGAGCCCTCCACACAGGCCGAGCTGAGGCTCCGTGAGCAGCATGGAAAATAAAGACCAGGCAGGAGAACTGAGGAAAACAGAGGAATTTGGCTAAAAGGAGCGTGAGGCCCTCGGTGTGGGAGCACAGCAGGAGCTGCCCTGGCTCCCTGCCAGCCCTGCTGGGGGCTTTGACTTCTGGCCTGCTCCTCCCAGGATTCTGGAAGGGATAAAAACCTTCCTGTGGAGCTTTGGAGCCCCTTGATCCTCCTCTTTGCAGCTGGCCCTGCTCAGATCAGAGGTGAGAAGAGAAATAAAAACACCCCAAAAATGAGAAACTGTCCTTTGGGTGATCCCAGCATTGCTCCAGAGCTTCCCCACACCCAGCTCAGGGCCTTTCTCTCCTGCCCTGGTTCTTCTCTTCCACAAATAAACAGGTTTTGGCCTCTCTCAGCTGCCCTTGGGTGTCCCTGGTCAGCTTCCTTCCTCTCCTGACCCTCCCAAGGAACACTTGCCAGTGCTCTGCTCTTGCTCCAAAACCTCCCATTACCTCTCCAAGAGGATTTCCCAGCCCTGCCCCTCTCCCAGGCTCTCTCCAGCTGCAGCCCCACAGGGCCCTGCAGCTCTCAGCTCCCACGTGCTGCCCTGGGATCCTGGCTGGCTCCTGTGATCCACCTGCCCCTGGGGATCTCCTCAACCCCCAGGAGGAGCAGCCCATGGAGCTCACTGGGACCCTCACTGCAGCTCTGGCCCCATCCCATCGCTCCTGGGTTCATCCCACCACTCCCCTGGCTCCTCCTGATCTGCACTCAGCCCTTCCCAGCCTCATTCCATTGCTCCCTGGGCTCCTCCTTGTATCCCTCTATTCATCCCATTGTTTCATGTGGTGATCCCAGCACTCCCTGGGCTCCTCCTGATCTCCCTGTCCCCACCCCATTGCCCCTGGGCTCCTCCTTATCTCTGCACCATCATCCCATTGTTCCATGTCCTGATCCCATCACTCTCAGGGCTCCTCCTGATCTCCTTGGCCTCATCCCATCACTCCCCATTCTCACTCTCTGGACTCCTCCTGATCT